AATGTAAAAATTGCCAAAACTTTGTTGGTGTAATTAATGGACAGCCCCCTAGATAAATATATGTTCTTTTGGAACATAAATTTTTTTGAAAAAGTTAAATGCATACGTATAAATACCTAAATGTTCCATCAACAAAACACACTTCGGTCAATTTCGCCTTGTTGATGACTAGCATATGCCCAAACAGCAATGCTACGTTATCCTGTTCTGCAACTGATCCCAAGAAAATGTCTCCATTGTGATGATATTCTTTGTCGTTCAGAACTTCAGCAGCTTCATTTGGTGATATTGGGTTCGAAGGCTCATTTAGCCTTCTCCTTTTCTGAAGACTTGGGATAACTTGACGAAAACTAACAGATTCAGAAACAACTGCAAGAAACTCACTCATAGTGTTTTGAAAAATTGAGCGCAGGTCTTCAGATGTTGCTTCTGCTTTTTTCTTCATGGTACTTTTAGCAAGCAGCACTTCAAAGTCTGTTTCTCTTGAACTGCAACTGTGAACAGTTGTAACCTGAAGTTTATCTTCATGAATAAAAGCTCTGCCTTTGCAGTTCATTCTTGTAAAAAAAACGACACTAAAGATGCAATTTGTCTTTATAAAGTTTATCTTTAGTGTATCCAAAATCACCAGACTAAAACACATTTGAATTTTTTCTTTCTCCTTCAGTTTCATTATAATTTTTTGATAAGTTCTCAACGACATTTTGGAATATTGAGTTTCTTAAAAGTTTCTTAAATTTTAAGTTTTAATTCGAACGGAATTTCATTGCACATGCAAATTAAACTGCTTATTGCGCGTGCAAATTAACTGTTTATTTAAACTGCTGTTCTCCAATGTAGGTTATGCTAACTTTGTGTAAAGTTGATGCGATATTAGGATGAAAAGTTAGGAAATATTCATCGAACTCTTAAATAAGTTTCTTTTTGAAAAGTGACTAAGTATTAAAAATTTCTTAAGATTTTCTCCTAGTACTAGTTTTATATAAAAAAAAAGTGTGATCATAAAATCATATTTTTGATGTTAATCATTAAAAAGAGTTTTTAACAATTAAAAAGAGTTTTTGATCTTATTCCGTTTTTATTGTTTTCGACATCAATCGGAAAATCACGTTTTCAATGTTAATCATTAAAATGAGTTTTCAATATTATTCTGATTTTATTGTTTTCGACATTAATCAGAAAATCTTATTTTCAATGTTAATCATTAAAATGATTTTTTGATCTTATTTCTTTTTTATTGTTTTCGATATTGTTCCACATTTGTGAACTTCGATATAAAAACTTTTCGACATTAATCAGAAAATCAAATTTTTGATGTTAAACAGTTAAATGAGTTTTCAATCTTATTCCGTTTTTATTGTTTTCGATATTGTTCCAAATTTGTGAATTTCAATATAAAAACTTTTGGATATTAATATGAAAATCACATTTTCGATTTTAATCATTAAAATGAGTTTCAGTCACTTATTTTTCGATAATCGTTTTTTCGATCAGTTAATTTTCGATACTATTCCGCTTTCCCCATTTGATGAGTATACTTCAGTAAAAAACAAAAGATATTAAAAATTAAGAATACATCATAAAGAAGGATTTCGATTGCATGAAACATTAAGAATCCAAGGTACAATGCCAGCAATAAAAGCCATTAAATTGATTAGTGATAAGCTTAATTCATTTGATTTAAATTTGGACAAAGACATTGTAGCTTCTGATACTGATGGAGATAGCAAAATGAAAAAAATTGGTTATGACACTAAACCTGAACATCAAATGTGTTACAACCACGTTAGAAACATTCATTTAATTTATCTAATGAAGTACTAGTCAAATCTGAATGTCTTAAATAAAGATGACCAATTTGACAACAAGATTGTAAAAAAGACGATTACTTATCTTGCTACTAATCTTTTTCAGCAATTATTTCAGCTATCTGATGATAGCTCAGCTATCTGATGATCAGTAAATACTGATAGTATAACTGATAACATAAAAAGTGAATTGAATCAAAAATGAATTGAATTTAGCTCAACAACTCAAACTTTTTATTAAACAATCAGACACTAAAATGAAGCTTGACCATCAGGAAATTGAAAAAAAACATTATTCAAAATGTAATGCCTGTTTTTAAAGCTAGCAAAGCTAGGCCCAAGTATTTAGATTTACTTTTTAAAGCTCTTCAAACAAAACATCCTACATCTGTAGAAGCTGAAAAAGCTTTTTCTAGTCTTGGACATTTTGCTACTAAAATAAGATGTTCTTTAAATGACAAAACTTTTTTAAAGTAAACTGTAAAGAGTATTTATTGATATTATTTACTTTTGTCCTAATTAATGATGATAAACAAATAAATATTTTTACATATACTTTGTATTACTATTGTGTGTTTTAGCATAACTAAAATAAAGTTCAAAATAATTTGAACTTTTTTTCAAAAAAGTTTGAACATGTTCTAACGAGAAGCCCTAATCTCAAGTTCTAACTAACAGTCTAACTGTTCTAGCCCTAATCTCAGTTATTCATGATTTTTGGTTTCCCAAGTTATATTGACTCTGATAGAGGTTCAGCTTTCATGATTGCAACAGGTCATACTAAAGCCAACCCTCGGAATTAGGGTCAGCATTCATTAATGCCGACCTAACTGCCGACCTGAAAGTCTTTGAGGTTGGCAAAAACTTGCTGACCTCGTTTCTATGTTTTATGGTCAGACCTTTGTATCAAATAATTTTTGCCGACTTGATGCGAACCTCAAAAAGATTGAGGTTGGCAAATTATTGCCAAAATAATGAAGTTGCCTACAAAAATACACACACTGATATAACAGTAATAAACTCTAAATAAACTCATCAATATACACTGCTATTTAATTTATATATTTATTTTCTATATTTCCACCTTTAAAATTTTTAAATTATGAAATAGTTTGCAATTTTTTGTTCTTATAAAATTGTTTTTTTAATAATTGCTGATAGACTGCCTATAAAATCAAAAGCATAAACACGTTTCATAACAATTAAATATTCTAATTATTTCTTTGCTTTTACAATAGCATAGGAAAAGGTCATGTTAAATTAGGTGAGACTAAAGTATCTTCCAAAGCTTAAATATAAACTTATGTAAATATGTATAATAAAAAATATAAATAAATTTCCAAATAATGAATAGAAATTATGGAATATTATTAATATTCAGAGTTATTTATATATAATGGAAAAATTATCAATAACAGTTTTATAAATTATATTTAAGAGTATTTAACTTAAAAATAGGTAATAGAAAATAAGGAAAAACATTTATATTTTATACACATTTTTATATTTTCCACATATTTTCTGGAGAAAATATATAAACCTTACTGGACTTACTGGAAAGAGTTCAACATCGTGCAACTCGACCAATACCATAACTCAAGAAAATCAACTATGAGAATCGACTAAAAGCTCTTGACTTAACTACGTTAACAAATAAAAGAAAGTGAGACATGATTCAACTTTTTAAGATCTTTAACGGTTTCAACAAATTAGAAACAAAAAGAAAGTTTAATTTTCAACAAACTCAAACAAGAGGTCACCGGTTTAAACATGTTAAAGAAATCACTAAGCAAGCTCATCGAGAAAACTTTTTCTTTAACAGATCAGCCAATTTATGGAATAGCTTGCCGAACGATTTGGTTAATTCAGAAACAGTTAACAGTTTTAAAGCTGGTCTTGATTGCTGGATGAGCAGCAGTCAGGCAAATCAGCTGTCATAGTGTGCTAATAACACACTCACTGGTTCATACCAGTTACAGCATTTAATAATAATAATAATAATAATAATAATAATAATAATAATAATAATAATAATAATATAATAATAATAACATATGTATAAAGCATTTGTGCCCCAAAAACATTCTGTCAACATGACAAAAGAGCAAAAAAAAATATAAATATTTTTACTAGAAATGAGACACAAAGACAATAAATTAAAGAAAGAACCTAGAAACAAAAACTTCCCAAAAAAGCCTTGCACATGAAAGGCAAGGAATGTGGGTAAAAGCGTTCTGTTAAATGGAATATTAGTAACAGGTAAACCAATAGCAATATTTGTAACAGGAAAATGAAAAAAACAGGTATGTGAAACCATCATCACTAAAAAAACAGAGCATTTCCTGAGATTATTGATTACAAGTAAAAAGTTGGATAAAAGTTTTTCCTTTTTGATAAAAAAGTAAAAAATCAATAAAATGTTTGATAATAGAATTGTAAATTTGTTTCTTATTGTGGATAATTGCTTTGAACATCCAGCTGATCAAGTTTTGAAAGCTGTAAAGTTTGATTTTCTTCCACCAAAGACAACTTCAAAAACCCAACCTACGGACCAAGGTATACATTTGATACATTTACTAAAAGCAAAATATCACAAAAAAATGATTTAACGGCTCAGTAAAATGGACATAAGAAAAACATCACTGAAAACATAAATTTTATGCGATGCATTTACTAACATGACCAGAGGTATCAAAGGCAATCATCAAAAATCCTTTTAGAAACATCAAAAATATTAAAAATTGGAAGAAACTAGTAATAGTTAACACGATCAGTTCAAAGACAGTGTAGTAGAAAAACTTCATCAGTAAGTTTAATGACAAATTGCTTTTTGAAACTTTGAAGTTTTAAAGGAACTAGATAAAACAGTTTTGTTAAATATTTTGAACTGTCAGCAAATAGAGATAAACCAAGCAATCCTAACATTTTGTTAAAAAACAAAGGGAGAGCTAACCAAGAAAAAGGTAATGTTTACTTTGGTTATGAACAACTTCTAGCACCCCCCGTCAGTATTTGAGGCAGAAAAAGCTTCTTAAACAGTTTAACTTTGAAGCAAAACACTTTTCATCATTTCATGATAAAGAAATTGATTTATGAAAAGTTTTATCAAAACAAAACATACACTCACAAAGAGCAAAAAAAATAATCCTTTTAAACATTTTGTAAAATATTTAAAAAACCAATAAAACATACCTGAAACAATAGGTGTTCTCTAACAGTAAGTGTTCCTATAAACAACTCTTCTTGCTGCACATAAGCAGATATTTTTTTAATCTTACTATGAATATTTTTATTGTTTACTAATATGTCACCAGTTATCTGCAAATTTTTCACATTTTGACCAGATAGAACATTTAAAAGAGTAGTCTTGCCAGCTCCACTAAAATATATAAAAGAAACATAAAAAATATAAGGAAAATAAAATAATCTAGTTTAGTAATAACAAAAAAATAATTTGAGGCCTGAATCAGACAACTAATGAGTAAGATTTTGTAAACTATTTGAAACTTCAGTAAGTTGATTGTAATACTAATAAAGTTTAGTGAAAAACTTCATCTAATCTTTGTTTAAATATTATTAATAAAATAAATTCCAAAATCTATCAATTATAAGTTGAATACCTTGCACCCATTATTGCTAGTAAGCTTGATGGTTCAGCAGCACCAGTAACTAGATGAGAATATTTTTTAATTTTAACCGAAAACTTAGGATTTGAATAAAGATGGCACCAGAATGGCAAATATATAAAAAAGAATATTATATTATAAATAAAAATAAAGAATATTATATTATAAATATCTAAAAAGTTTAATTGAATATTCTCTTTCTTGTGATAGAATCAGATCTACTGACTATAAATTTGTGAATTATTAGAAACAAACTTTTCTTTCAATTTATCTCTTAATTTTAATGACTAAACTGGTATGGTCATTTGACCATCAGATAAATGTTGTAGTTAGAATGTCTCAAAGGAATAAATGTTAGTTGGAGTTAGCACAGTGCATTGTGGCGACTCTAACAAACAGTTAGTTTTTAAAAACCTTTGATATTTTTCTGTAAAATTAATGCAACCATAGCTTTAACATTAAAAAAAAATTTTTTTTACACATTTTTGTGATAATCATTTCTATATTCAGCCTACCCTGGCATTGATTTTTGTTGCAGTTTCTTGAAACCTGATTTAGTAATAATAAAAGAATGGGTTGAGGCCTAAAACTTAATTATTAACCTAATAACTAAAAAAAAATTTTTTATTTGTTTTAAAATTAATAGTAATTTAACTAATTATAATAATATAGTATCATATAATGTTTGTATATATATATATATATATATATATATATATATATATATATATATATATATATATATATATATATATATATATATATATATATATACAGGGCCTTTCAGAGGTTTGGAGAGGCCCTGGCCAGTAAAAAATCGGAGGCCCCAAAAGAAAAATTTGCGCAAAACGCGACACAAGATAATGCAAAGCCATTTAAGTCTTCAGATAGATCAGGACCCAATAAATGTCTAACTTTAAAACTAAATGCAATAAATTAGACAGACCGTCACACACAGATGTGGCGCCTTTTGTACGTTTTATCAAGACAACTAGCCAAGAGACGCGCTTGTCTACTAAAAACGCATTTTTAGAGAGGCCTGGGAATTAAGAAGGAACGACGTATGAGTGGAATGTTACACTGTTACTTTATTGTGAATGTTACAATTCAGATTTCACAAATGAATAATTCATGCATAAATAATTATGAATTGGTTTTTATTATTTGGTTTTTTTCGATATGTAATTATTTGTCACTATAAATGAATAGTTAAATATGCCACATTTTGAAAATAAAATCTAAAGAAATTCACTAAAAGTAAAACAGAATGATTAGTTTTAATTAATTTTTACAAACGCTTTTCTTGCTTTTTGTTCTGAAAATGCAGCAATTATATTTGAAAAATCTAGTTTTCGTGCAATATCGCAATTTATATTCAACATAGCAAATCCATTCAACCGTTCCTGCCCCATAGTTGAACAATAATAATTTTTTATCTGCTTTAAAACATTAAATGTGCGTTTGCCCGAAGCCGTCGATGCAGGCAAGCTGATAAAAATTCGTAATGCAATTGTAATGTTTGGAAAGACACCTGAAAGACCTAGTCCAAGTATTTCTTACAGCAATTTTTTTGGTGTGCATTCTAGTTTAAAATTAGCACCATAGATTCTTTTAAAAAATAAAACCTCATTTTCAAGTTCTTGTAATATTTCTTTGTCATATTTGTGCTGCAAATGCTGAGCAGCCAATGCAAGATCTTCGTCATTCAAATTTTTAAACTGCCAGAGAAATCCAAAAAGTTTACAAATTTTTTGTAAAGACTGAAATCGTCGCGTGAGGCCAGATTTAATTGAGTCAATGATGACAAAATATACATTGATTTTATAATATAACTCAGCATCATATTGACTTGGGAAATGACGATTAGTTAAAAACTCACATGAAACACCAATATTTCTTGCAACAAATTTTGACTCATTTAAAATCAAATTGTTCACGCAACCTTTGAATGTCATTACATAGATTTTCAATGTTATCCTTTTCAATATCAAGAGTGGCATGGCGTGCCTCAATGATTAGATTTGTCTGATGAATCATTGTGAGTAGCTTCATCCAGATAGACAACATCAAAATGCAATCAAATTTGGAAATATACTTTTGAATAGCATTGAGTTCCATTTTAGCCTGGGCTGTTAAATGTAGCACCCCAAGTTCATTTAAAGCACTTCTTACTGACTTCAAATGTTGTGCAACTGGTTTAACACCATCAATCCGTGCTGACCATCTTGTTTTGGACATTATATGCAACGAAACAGGAAGATGTTGTTTTAAAACTTCCCACCTTTGAGGACTGCTACTGAATAAATTGTACATTTGCTGAATTGTTCCAAAATACGTTACTGCTTCTTTGCATGATTCAGCGCAATCAACACCAACTAAATTTAATGAGTGATTTCCGCAGCTAGAAAACATACAGTTTGGATTTTGTTGTATCAAAACCGCTTGCACCCCGTTATACTTTCCAGCCATATTAGCACTGTTGTCGTAAGCTTGACCAATGCAGGCTTTGAAATCCAGCTTCAAAGTTTTCAATATTTCTAGTGTTTGAGCAGCGATTTCTCTTCCAGTTTTTTTTTGAAAAATTTTCAAATAAAATAAATCTTTCTTCAACTGAAAAGTTTGAATTATCTAAAATTTTAACATAAGGAATAACCAGAGTAGTTTGCTCCTTGTACGAGCAATCAGGAGTAGCTTCAACTATTATTGAAAAATATTTTGCTTTCACAATTTCGTGGAGGATTGCTGTTTGAACGTGTGAACCACAAATACCAATAAATTTGTTCTGAATTAAAAGATAATGAGCTTGCATTCGCTGCTTACACTATTGTGACTCTCGAACATGTTTAACATACTCAGCTAAAAGTGGGTCATATTTGCTAAGAAGCTCAATAATACCTAAAAAGTTTCCATTCGCTCGATAACCTATTCGTTGGTTAGAACCAAAAAGTGCTAATCCACATTCAGAAAGAAAAATAATAACATCTAGAATACGTTGGAATAATTTTTTCCAATTTTCAGTTTCAGTCTTGAGTTCTGATAAAAGTAAATTATCCACTGAAGTTTCACATAATGCTGCTCTACTAGCTTATTTCCATACAACATAGTTTTCTTTATGGTAAATTGAACTTTCGTGCCACGGAATACGATCTTTCAATCTTCTCCAACCTCTACTGATGCCTCATCCGACAGAACTAGAGAAAAATGACACATTTGCAGCATTTTTGTTAAAACGAAAACATGGTGCACAATACAAAGATTGTTTTTCAACACTCCAGCACAACCAATCTCTTTTGCATGTTTCTCCATTTGCAAGAGTTTTGTTTAAGAAACAATAAGGAAATGTATGAATTAGAATTTCAAAGCAAGTAATCTTAAGAAAAGAGTTCACTTGACAAGAATTGTTCTTGTTGATAATCCCAATGTCAATAAAATTGAACGGATTACCTTGATGAATCGGATCAGTTATTTCTGTTTCCATATCTCCAATTTCATTTTCACCTGCATTTTCCTGTAATGAGATTTCAGTTTCAACCCGTTCCTGTTTTATAATATTTAAATTTCCTTCTGGTTATTGTTCCAAAATTGGGTCTTCTGCAATTGGAACAACTATATTTTCAATGTTATTATTGTCACTCACACTTTGAGTTTGGTTTGCTTGTTCAATTTGAACTGTGTTTTGTGATTTTTTTAAAAACGAATATATTTTCTTTGAGTTGGTGCATGCTTCTTCGGCCAATTCTTGTCTCCGCCGCCTTTTACTTGCACCACTATGAAATCTTCTCTTCATTTTAATGGTATCTGGAAATAATATTGAAATTTGAAAATATAATAAATTTATACATCAATCGAACTTATACAAATTTTTAAAACGAGTTGTTTTAAAATTAAAAAATATTTACCAGAACAAAAAAATATTACTATTCTCAAAGTTACAAAATGTAATGTACAAAACGCAATGTACAAAAGCGCAATATATCAATTTTATACAAAATGATAAGAAACAGTTCAAAATAAATTGATTTAATCTTGTTTGATGAGTTACAACTAAAAAATTTAAGAAAAAATGAAGCTACTAAAAAGCAGAACACAAAATCATAACTTAAAAACTCGTACAAGTTCAAAGTAATTGTATCAATTTGATCAAGCGTGCCCGACGGAGGGTTAATTGCATTATTACATGATGTAATCTTTATCATGTCGAATATAGGTTTGGAAATATGTAATTATGAAAAAGAAATTAATTTATTATTTAAAGTTAACCTAAAGTTAAATTGTTTTGAATAATTAGATTAAATCAATTACTTTGATATTTATTTTCGTGTTTAACAAATGTGTTTTGAAAATGTGAGGCCCCAACAAAATCGGAGGCCCAGACCATATTGCCCATGTGGCTCCCCCTCTGAAAGGGCCTGTATATATATATATAATATATATATATATATATATATATATATATATATATATATATATATACATATATATATATATATATATATATATATATATATATACAATGTGTAAATATATATATATATATATATATATATATATATATATATATATATATATATATATATATATGTATATATATATATATATATATATATATATATATATATATATATATATACATATATATATATATATATATATATTATATATATATATATATATATATATATATATATATATATATATATATATATATATATATATATATATATATAAATATATATATATATATCCTTATATCGTAGTCAAAAGAGACTTTTTTTTATGGTAAAAAAAGTCTCTTTCAACTACAATTTTAATACCTCAACTCTTAAGCTGTATTTTATTGTTGTCGAAATGTCAAAGCAATTAAATTAATGCAGAAGTACATTAAATTTCATTGTTTTTTAAAAAAACCCGAATAATAATGACAAGAAAGTTTTTTTTAATTAATGGCGTTTTTGTTGTTGTTTTATTAAAATATATTTTTAAAACATGCATGGAGTGCTGCTACATCAACTGAAAAATAGCCTGACTCACAAGGGAGTGCTGCTACATCAACTGACAAATAGCCTGACTCGCAAAAGAGTGTTGCTACATCGACTGAGGGTTTGGTATGGGCAGGCAGTCTATCATTTGAAATAAATATATATTTAAATTTTTAAAGTTTTTCTGGTCTGGTTTATTAACGCGCTCTTTAAAACTACAGTTTATGGGAAAAACTTACTGACAACCATGCATATATATACATATATATATATATATACATATATATATATATATATATATATATATATATATATATATATATATACATATATATATACATATATATATATATATATACATATATATATATATATATACATATATATATATATATATAAATATATATATATATATACATATATATATATATATATACATATATATATATATATACATATATATATATATATATATATATATATATATATATATATATATATATATCATATAATATATACATATATATATATATATACATATATATATATATATATATATATATACATATACATATATATATATATATATATATACATATATATATATATATATATATATATACATATATATATATATATATATATATATATATATATATATACATATATATATATATACATATATATATATATATATATATATATATATATATATATATATACACATATATTATAGTCATATAAATAGCCCTTTAAGTTTTTTTTTTGACTCCTATACTGCATAAAAAAAAAAAAATTTTAGATGCTCTAATTTAATTTATTAACTTTTTTTGAAGTTTTACTAACAGATATAATTTTTTTTGTAGTTTTTGCCAAGCTAATATTTTAAAATATTAGCTTGACAAAAATACAAAAAAAATTAGAATTAGAGTTTTCCTTCTCTAGGGAAGTTGCCTACACCATAATTAAAGAGTCTCACCTGCCCTAATATAAATCTCTTTAATGCCATGACCAGGACTTAAGTCATGACCAGGACTTAACATAACATAAGAAAATAAAATGTAGATTAAGGAAAAAATAGGAATAAACTCACTAGAATCTAAAAGTTTTTTAACTGTAATATTCTGTTGGTTTGATTTTCTAAACAAGTTTTTAAATGGTGATGCTTTAAGTTGAGCTGATACATAAAGATTGTTCCAGCTTAACCGCACTCCAGATTTTTTGACATGATTTTTACCAATACCTTCATTTAAAGGATCTCCATACCATGA